CCCCCCCCCCCACCACACACACACGCACAAACACACACACAGACACATACACACACAGTAAGGGTTAAATGCTAATTTAGCCTAGGAATGAGTAAGCTGTAATATATAACATAAACAACTTCACTTTTACTCACATTACTATTACCTCCTACGGGATAGATACTCTAAAAGTTGTGCTTCCAATGCCAATCCGACCATAACGTAAAACAGGAAATGATCAATTAATTGACAGAGTAAAACTCCAAACTACCTAAAAGCAGGGGTCTCAAACCTCCAGCCCTCCAGCTGTGGTGAAACTACAAATCCCATGATGCATCTCTCTTCGGGAGTCATGCCTGTGGCTGTGAGAATCTTGCAATGCCTCATGGGATTTGTAGTTCCACCACATCTGGAGGGCCGGATGTTTGAGACCCCTGACCTAAAGACTCAGTGAAGCATAAAGGAGCCACACACTTTTCTCAGACAGCTGCTGATCTAACTAGAACCTAGCTTGGTGGGGTAGACCAAACAAAACTGAGCTGTGCGAGAAACATGACAATTGTAGCTGGATGCACTTTACTGCATGATAGACAATTCCTAGTGATGTTTACAAATTCCACCATGGGACACGGAACCTTTACATGTGTTGCAGGATTCAGGTGCATGTAGGTTGCCTAATCCATACATGCTGCATCATGTCTCCTACCTAGTGAACAGAATAGAAATTCCAACACGTTATTAGTCCTTGTAGCAGCTTATTAATGTTATTACAAAACACTGCACAGGTGATGATACAGAATGGAGGGAGTCATTCATTACAAAGACAATAGATACCTACTGCACTTAGATGTATGTATTTGTCCGGGTCTTACAAAACTGGTTCCTTATAGAAATGCTTATGCTAACTGTTTGGCCATTGGTAACTGATATGTGAACTCTGGGGAAATTACCAAAACTACCCTCCCTTGTAGTGGTGCCCCCCCCCCCCCCCACCCCCATGCTGCAAGAGTTAAATGTTCATTTTTTTCCTATGGTAGCACTTTAACTTACCTTATCCCTCACTCCCACAGGCTCCTCTTCTCTGTGTGATCTGTTCCCCACAGCTACTTCTCTTTCACGTCCATCTGGCAGTTGCACTCTGACATCATCATGTACAATGCAGGAAAGGTAAGGATGCCAAGGGCTTGCCCACAACGTAGAGTGTCCTAAGGAAGAGTAGGTCAATGGCTGCCAAGGGAGCAAGGTCTAGAGAAGAATTAAGCTATCTGAACATTACAGAGGTCACCTGTTTGGCCCTATAGAGTAGCAGAGTGGCAGTAGGGTTTCCCCCTTTCTACATTACAGCACTGAAATAAAGATTGTATTGTCAGGTGGAGTGATCTCCACTCGACTGTACAATTAAAGTCCCAGACTCATTGGGGAGAGAGAGAGAGCGGCGCAAGAGCATGTGATCAGATAAGTAACCACTGACCGCCAATACGGGGGGTTAAATAGCACTGCCACTGACCACCAATGAGAAAATTAAATAGCAATGTAAGTGAACACTAGGGTGGGCAGTGGGAAGGGGAGTTAACCGCACTGCCACTGACTACTATTGCCATTGTGTGGGAGGTTTAGTACTGCCACTGTCACCAATGGTGGGGATTATTATTGCGGCCACTCACACTAATGCAGAAGATTATTATTGGGGGAAGTTGTTGCAGCTGCGCAATGCTCTGGGAATAAGTGCACTGTTATATTTTTATTAGGCTTTTATTGCCATCTTCCTGTCCTAGTGACGCCTGCACACTCTCATTTCACATCCTGATGACACTGGCACAGGAAGTGAAGGGACATTTCCCCAGGAAGGACAAAGACAGCATTTAAACCTTGACTGATGTTCTGACTCTTACCCACTCAATCAGAAACTAAAACAATAAAGGTTTAGCATGAGCTCTTGAGCTATTCTTTAATTTAACATAGTACATTCATCAGGAATATGTCATTTTTCTATTAACCCTTTGGCACTGTCCTTTTAGGCGGGTTGTAACGCTGAAGGCCAACGTGAGTGACTCCCGTTCATGTGATCACTGTGATTGGCTGCACAGTGATGACATAGTGGGGAGCCTGTCCTTCCGACTCCTGGTTGATGGTACTTGACCGTAAGGCATCGATGAAAGCTCGGTTGCTGATTGAGCACGCCCACAGAACAACACAGTGATGCATATATGCTGCAACTCTGCGTCAAGGCCTACCTCCGTGCTGCCGCATGTACTGTATGTATGAGGCCAGTGGGAAGTAGTTAAAGGTATTTTAAATGACCAGTTACTATTTGCATAAACCTGAACCGATCATTAAAATTATTTGCTTACTGATTGTTTTTTGTTAACCAAAACAAGTGCCTTACAGGATTCACAGAGATTGAAAGTGCCACTACAGCCAATGCAGAAAATCAAATACCGTATATACTCGAGTATAAGCCGTCCCGAATATAAGCCGAGGTACCTAATTTTAGCCAAAAAAACTGGGAAAAAGTATTGACCCGAATATAAGCCGAGGGTGGGAAATGAGGCAGCTACTGGTAGATAGATACCATTAAAATACATTAATATTTATTTAAAAGAAAAATAACCTAGCTCTGTAAGTGGAAAAGGGGGTACAGGGCTACATATCATGTACTACGGATCATTTAACCCATTCATATTAGCAGAGGATAATTGTAAATCTATTGTTCAGTGCACTCTATATGTAGTATATAGTACATGTACATATAGAGTGCCTGCAACAATACATTTACAATGATCCTCTGCTAACATGAATGGGTTAAATGATCCATAGTACAGGGCTACATACAGATCATTTAATACATTCATGTTAGTATAATTGTAAATGTATTGTCTGCACTGTATTAGCAGTATATACTCTATATAGAGTATATACTGCTAATACAGTGCAGACAATACATTTACAATTATACTAACATGAATGTATTAAATGATCTGTATGTAGCCCTGTACTATGGATCATTTAACCCATTCATGTTAGCAGAGGATCATTGTAAATGTATTGTTGCAGGCACTCTATATGTACATGTACTATATACTACATATAGAGTGCACTGAACAATAGATTTACAATTATCCTCTGCTAATATGAATGGGTTAAATGATCCGTAGTACATGATATGTAGCCCTGTACCCCCTTTTCCACTTACAGAGCTAGGTTATTTTTCTTTTAAATAAATATTAATGTATTTTAATGGTATCTATCTACCAGTAGCTGCCTCATTTCCCACCCTCGGCTTATATTCGGGTCAATACTTTTTCCCAGTTTTTTTGGCTAAAATTAGGTACCTCGGCTTATATTCGGGACGGCTTATACTCGAGTATATACGGTATGTTATTTCTTATAAGTGGTCATCTGAATACCTTTAAATGACAATTTCAGATTCTATATGTGAACATTTTTTTCAGCACACTTTCTTTATGAGGAGGTTCCCTTGCCTCCTCGGTGCGTTACCGACCTGGATTATATTTCTACGTGCAGACTCGTCCAGCACTGGCATGGTATAGCTCACTGCAATGCCCATTCATCACAGTGGCCCCAAAACCGGACTGAACCCATAACACACAACCAGAAATTCGGGGAAAGCTCTTTCGTGGATAGTTAGTTGAGGGGAGAATCATTTTGCAGAGAAGAGGTATCATCATTAGCTGATGAAAATGTTGCTTTATATATAGTACTGGATTGAAAACTTGTTTCAGATTGAAGGTTTAGTGACACTTTAAAGGGTATCTATGATCAAAAAATAAAAATAAATCTGTATTCCTTCATTGAATTTCCATACGTTCTATCCTACTCCTAATAACCAAATCCATATAGCAGTTTGGAAACTTACTTATTGTGTCACAACTCACAGAGCCTGCCTTCTGAAGTACACCTCAACGTCTGAACAATGTAACATTATCATTGCTTGTTGGAAGCAATGCATGATGGGATATGTAGTCTTGAGAAATCAAGACTGCACCACACCAAGCAGCAGGTAAAGAGATACAAAGCACACTGGGAATCCTGGAAGTTGTTAAAGGTAATGGACAGACAGAAGGAAGGGATTTTTTCAAGTAAGCTTTGATTGCTTTATCAAAACAACTCTAGTATGTATTCCTATTACAATGCTGATGTTATAACAGGATACTTTATGCCGGGACTTTAGAACTCCTTTTATGTGTTCAGGTTTGGCATTGAAAAGTTGTAGTCAGGCCATTATTTTGCCTTTTCCTCCAAACAAACATGATTTGCAGTGTTCACTTCCTTGAGATCTTCAGGCAATCAAATCAAACAATGCGCGAGGAACCCGCAAGTCAGCACTATGAGGCCTTACAGTAAATGAAATATAAACAACATTTAAGAAGCCTGTAATTGCTTTTTTAAAAGAAGTAAAGTACCACTCGTCCTAAAATAAATAGCACCAGCAGCTGTTGATAGAAGAGAGATTTGGCCCATTAAGGGTATTAGCCGGTCTGATGGCACTCCTGATACTGCATTGTAAGAGCCTTGATCTTTCAAGATCTGGATGAGAGCCGTGTCATGGCACATCACTGTCACTGAGGTCTCTCCGGATCACTGCAAAAGGAAGTTTTATGTGCAGGATTATACCCAATTAGTATTACCGCACAGATTATCCAAACAAACACAAACTGTTTATGTTATAAAAGACAATTGTTTAATCAGTGAAGAAAAAGATATTTTCTTTGAATTAAAGGGACGTTTTAGCTAGAATGCAAGCCACGTACTGGACAACTGGTTCTTGTTTACAGGGATAATGAGCTAAATTGACTTTTGGTCAAGTCAACCAAAGAGTGTCAGGAGTTATCTTCAGTTTTATTGAGTCCCAAATATTTCTGAAGCCGGCCATACACTGGTAGATTTTCATATGAGCTTTGTGTGAATAATCTCGTCAGAATTTTAGATACTACCATTAAAAACTTGATGAATTGGGTTCAACATTTTGTTTGATTTTGGAAACTGAGTTTTTATAAATGAAAACCAAATTCACTGTTAGAATGTCTTTTGAGAAAAAATGTCCATCTTGCTCCTTCAATTTTTTTCATCACTGCTGTCAAAAGCGATCGTCGACTTGACCCCCCCCAAAAAGTTCTAAAGACTGATTTTTTTTTCTAACAAAATTCTACTTATGTTTGACCAAACAGGGGTAGGTCATACTTAGGTTTGTTCACTGTATCCAAAACCACCTGGGGTTTTAGGTACCTATTCATTATATGATCTATGTTGATGCTGATTTATGTTATTAATATGTTATTAATATCATAGATAACATAACATAGATCAGCATTTCTCAACCTTTTTCCAGTCACAGCACCCTTTAAAAGTAGGCACAATCACAAGGCGCCCAGTCTAAATCTAAAAAACAATGTGTGGCCCCTCCAAAACCCATACCAGACCCTTATCCCAGATAGTGGTCTGGTATGGATTTTAAGGGGGAACCCCACGCAAAAACACAAAATATAACGAGTTTTCCCTTCACATCAGAGTCCCCCTTTCGCATCGGAAGCCCCCTTCACATCAGAGTCCCCCTTTCACATCGGAAGCCCCCTTCACATCAGAACCCCTTTTCACATTAGAGTAACTCAGGAGCCCTCTCCCCTCTCATGCTAGGAGCCCCCATCCACATCAGAGCCCCATTCTTTCATATCAGGAGCCCTCTTCACATCAGAAGCCCACTCAACATCAGAGACCCACCTGTACATTAGAGCCCCACTTTCACATCAGAAATCTGCCTTTACCTCAGAGCCCCCCCTTTTACATAAGGAGAACCCTTCACATCAGAAGCCAACCTTCCCCATAGAAAGGCATGATGCTGTGCAAGAATTTTGAGGCACACCTGGGGAAGCCAGGAGGAACCCCAGGGTGCCACGGCACCCTGGTTGAGAAGGGCTGACATAGATATTAGGATTCAAGATGTCATTCTCAGCTTTATAAATGCATCTAGTTTTTGAAGCTGGTCATACACTGGTAGGTGTCTGTACGAACGTTCATATGAAAAATCTCGTCAGAGCATTTAATAACACCATCAGAAACTTGTAGAATATAGTTGGAAATTTAGTTTGATTTTATCATTCAATTTTGGAATGATTTGGAGTTTCCCCAACAAAAAACACATTCACTGTTTTTTTTAGGCAGATAAACAGAAAAATGTAAAATGGTGTAGCTCAAATCAAAACAAAACAGTCGACATGGGAAATTGTGCTTTTGTCTAAGCAGTCATTCCTATAGGAGCTTGACAACATTCTAATAGTGGGTGGCCTTGCCAGCTTGACAAAAGTTTATTACGCAATTGACTTCTGTCAAAGGAGCTCGGTAGGGATGAGCTCCAACACTGTGCTCTTCTGAACCTGGAAGGAGCCCCTACTGAACCTGGAAGGATGCTCCTTCCATGCTAACCAATCAGCTGCTGGTGGGGAATTCCCCGCCCGCAGCTTCACGTATGCAATGCAGTGATGTAATTGACCTTATCTTGCTACACGCCTATATTTGGTCAATTACATTTACCTAATATGGCTATGTTGCCATATTAGGTCAATGACATCAGCACAAGCATCCCGCCCCTTTGCTTACATGCAGCTGCAGGGTGGGGAATGTCCATACTGCGGTTGACTGGATGGAAATTCCCATGGCACTTCCTTATTCGGAGGAACTCAGGTTCGGTACTGGTTTGGTCCGAACCTGAGCTCATCCCTACTTACTATTACCTCACTGGTTATACATTCTCCTATATTGTGTGTAGGGGCTTAGGGTGAACCAAGCTCACCCATGTTCATCCAAACCTGTGCAAAACTGTCACTAGCACACCCCCCTACTAGCCCAATCATTTGCGGCAGGGTCGTTCCCCGCTCTGCAGCTACACATCATAAAGGGACGTGGAATGCCCCTGCCACAACTGATTGTGTCCAAAGGGGGATTGGCCAGTCACAGTTTTGTGTGGGCTTGGGCAACATTGGTTGTGCACCAAGCCCCCGCACATCACTACTCCTAACAAGTAAGATACAAGTGGTAAAGGGTATGCCAAAGATACAGAGATCAACCTGAATGCTTCTACCAGGAAGAAAAGTGAGCAGCAATTAATCCACTATACAGGCATT